GCACATCTGGCCTGAGCTGCTCCTGAGCTATCCCCGAGGTGAAAACCGGTGAAAAATCACAGGATTTTCACCCAAATCACCATCCCACGGCTGCCTGCAGAGCCCTGAGCCTCAAAGCCTCTCACACTCATGTCACCTCCCCCCAGGGGACATTCCCAGCTGTGCCACCCCGCTCCTTTTCCCCATTCTGGCTGTTTTCATGAGGTTTCCCAGCCATGTCCGGGTGTCACCTGTGCCACCTCTGTCCCCACCCAGCTCTTCACTGATGGCATCACCAACAAGCTGGTGGCTTGCTACACGGACGAGGGGATGGCGGATGCGGTGCTGGTCAGGGTCTACGGCCGCAARACGGAGCTGCTGGTGGACAGGGAGACGGAGCTGAGGAATTTCCAGGTTTTGCGCGCCCACGGCTGCGCCCCCGACCTCTACTGCGCCTTCCAGAACGGGCTCTGCTACCAATTCCTGCCGGGAATCGCGCTGGGACCCGACCACGTGAGGGACCCCYGCATTTTCAGGTGGGATGGGGGGTAAAGAGTCGCGTCAAAGCCAAGCAAAGTATCAAAAATTACATATTCATTTTAAAAAAAAATCAAATTCCCACAAAAAAGGTATCAAAGTTTTTCCACCTCTAAGTTTTAGCTATCTCAGGGCTGTGTAGCCCTCCAGCATTTTTTTTAAATTATCTCATCTACCACAATATGGGGGWTTTGGGGATTTTCCAGKGTTTTTTYCCRTGTGTCCRGCTGTCCCCTCGCTGCCACRGTTTGGAGTCACTGCTGTGCCCAGCCCGTGGTGGTGTTGGGGGTGTAAATGGGCCAAATTTCAGGCAGGAATATCAAAATTATCAAATTTCTAAAGCTGGAATAGAGATTTCCTGGGGAAGATTGATTTCCTGGAAAAAATCCTGGGAAGATATTCCTGGAATAGGGATTTCCTGGGAATTCAGCTTTGGGCTGAATTTGCCCTGGAAAGGTGAACACTGAAATGCTTCAGAGGCCAATCCCTGACATGGAACAGGAGTCCAGCTGTGCTAATCCTGTGATTTTAAACAGAATTTTCCAGGAATCACCCTTCAAGATATCCTAAAGGTGTTTTGGGGGGGAGTTTGAGGATTTGGGATCGCCTCTGACCCTTTCCCTGTGCTCCAYGCCAGGCTGGTGGCCCGGGAGATGGCCCGAGTCCACGCCATCCACGCCAACGGGAGCCTCCCCCGGCCCATGCTGTGGCAGAAGCTGCACAAATACCTCACCCTGGTGAAGACGGAGCTCAGCCCAAAGGTATCCAACSCCAGGTAAAGGCAGAGGGATCCCAAAAAGCCGGGCTCTGCCTCGGGCACCCCCTGCCCACCCAGCAGGGGAAGAGCCCTGGTTCCCAGGTAAAGCCTCTGCGGGGTCTGGGGGTGTTTTTGGGGCTGGATCCGCTGCTGGATCCTGAACCCCGGGAGCTGCGGGGATGGAGGCAGCTCCAGCTCCTTCCTCATCCCAGTTTGGGGTGGATTTGGGCGTTTTTGGAGCGGAGGCAGCTCTGGGATGTGTCTGTGCAGCATCCAGCCGGAGCCACAGCCTCCCACTGCTGTCACAATCCTCCTCCTCCTCCTCCTCCTCCTCCTCTTTCTCCGGGGAATTTAAGCCTGGAATAAAGCAGAGCTCAAACCCCGCTGAGCTGACAATGAATTCTAAAAACCCAGCCTAGATTTAAAACACCCCGTTCCCATTTCCAACCAGCC